AAACACCCCCCCCCATCCTCTCTATGTGCCAGGATCCATACAAGCTGCAAACAGCAAACGGAGGAAGAAGCAAAACGACATTAAGGCGGGAAGTTATTTCACTCCAGCACCTCTCGGCGATGAACTCCACCTCCTCTATCAAAGGCCAACAGAGCAAGGAGGTTTTGGCATCCAGCCTACGTGCAGTCTCAAGAAACCAAGGAGGGGCCAAGTAAGAGTCATCCGGAAGGTTCCTACATCAGTCTCTCCTTCCAACCAGCTTCTCACTGTAATGAGCAACAGACTCAGCTGATGGAACTCCCCAATTCCAAGGGCTGAGCACAGCTCCCTGCTCAGCGATACCACTCGGAGTCATTGGAAGGTGATCCCTGACTCTCCATTCGGAGTGGCAACCAAGCGAGCACCAAGAATTACAGGCTTCAAGACAAAGGGGTCTCTTGTGCTGCTGTGTGTCATTTTTAAATTAAGCCAACTCAATTAGCCCCTTACATCGCAGCCCTCTTATGTTGATCTTTCCTTGCTCTGTCAACCAGGCTCGCCCAGAACTTAGAACCATTTTCAACTAATATTTCATCACTGTGCAACTTCAGCTACAAACAAGTAATTAATGCTAACGAGTTTTTCCTTTTTTTGCAGCAGCAGCCGCCACCATTAATATCAGTTGACTGGGTTTCACTGAAGCATAGAAAAGGCTCATGACTGGAAGAATGATAAATGATTTATGAGCAACAATATTTACTAGTGCATATTTTAGAGTAAGCCAGCTCCATAGGCTTTTCTTGCAGATCTTCTCCAAGAAAGTAAAAAAGAAAAAGATAAAAATCAACACTAGACATGGGGGAGGAAGCCTGGAATATTTAATCAAGGTCCTCACATTCTGTTTGCTGCTGTTACATTTTGCATATTGGAGACACTGAGCTTTGTCAAGTCAACACTCAGCTCTTCCTCCTACAATGCTGGTCTGTATACATTCAAATATCGCAGAAGTTACTGACATTCAAGATGCAGTTCCGTAATGTTTATGAGGGGGTTACTTTTTAGACTAAACTGAGTTTTAAGTGTTCTTCAAATAATCAGCCCTTCTGCTTCTCATTCTCTACTTGGGACATTCAATTTCCAGATCTGCCCAGTTCATGTTATTCCTCACGGACGCCAGCAAGATAAGCTGAGAATCCATGCAAGTGCAGAGAGGCAGAGTCATCAGAAATAAGAGCAGAAGGGAAACAGGAACAGTTTTGCTTACTCTGAAAAGCCACACTTCTACAAGCTATGAGACATAGTCTTTACCTTGCTTACGAACATCTTCCACAGCTGCTACCAGCTCCTCTTTAAGGAACTGGCTCTCTTTTGCAATTTTGTCTCCTTTCTCCAGGAAATTCTCTGTCGCTTGTTCAACTGAAGCAGCCAAAACATGGGCCTTTTTAGAACGTCCTCGCTTTTTATTAGAGGGGCCCTTGTTGCTAGTGTTAACCAGTGTTGTTACCTAAACACACAGAGAGGGGAAAAAAAAACCACAATAAAACATGAAACAAATCAGAAGTTCATCAGTTTGACAGCAAGGCCATGTTTTTTTTTTCTAATACCTGCACTACTGCCAGTTCCAAAGGTTAAACTCAAACAAGTGTTTTTCACGTCTCTAAACATTACCATACTTCTTGATTCCTTGGAATTATAAATTCAGCTAAACTGCTTCAAGATTTTTCTTAGCAGCAGCAGACCTGAAAATTTGATTTTAAGAATTGAGATCTATTAGTATTTTTGATCAACTGCAATCTCAGTAACAGGCCAGAGCTATTTCGCACCACATAAAAAGAAACCAAGATGGAGGGAGGTAGTTTGTGATAGCTCTCCAGGCATAAAAGACCCCAAACAAGGTTGGAGACATTAGCCACAGAAATCTAGCTCAACACTTCCCTAAAACAATCAAAACTGAACTATCACAATCCTCCTGCAATCAACAAGTATTTCCAAGTTTTATGTTTTAGACTGAAACCCTGCTAGGAGCTGGTCACCAAGGGCCTGATGACCACCAAGGTATCCTGTTAGCTCTGCATGAGGATCCATCCTCTACAATCAAACATGGACAGATGTCACAAAATCCATGGACACTTTTCCATTTGCCTTTTCCACCCACCCCCTGCCTCACCCTTTTTGGTAAGTCTAGGAAAATGCATACGAAGCTACTTCGGAGAGACATTAAATTGTAACAGTAAAAATATTACTACTCTGGAAAGCCCAAGGACTGCTGACATAAACGTCCTCAGAGCTGAATCCATCTTCTCGGTAGGTTGGCTCAGAAAGGGAAAGCCATCAGTTGGGAATAACCCTGTCGATTAATGGGGAGCATTTGTACGGGGTAGTCTCAGTTCATCATGTACTACAAATAAAGAACAAGTTGCAGCAAGACAACTTACTCCACGTTCTTCTCTGTGTTTTGCCAGTCTCAGCATTCACAAAATTTGGGATTGCCAGTACAGCCTATGGTGATACTCGAGGATTAAGTTACAGACACTGAACTTGGACAAAAAGGTCCTATAAGCAAGTTTGCTCAGCTAAGCTTGTCAAATTTGGACAATTTCTCTTAAGGGAAGGCTCCATCAGTAACTCTGGCTAAAAACCTGGCTAGTAGATTATCCAAGTGCCCATCTGGAGGAAACGAAAGGCAGGTATGGACAGCAGCTTGGCAATTAAAGTGATACTAATACTGGAAGGAGAACTTGATCGTTGCAGTTTGTGCTTAGCAGGAGTTGTGTCCAGTTCATACTGTCGTTTTAAAAATTTCTTTTTTCAGGAAAACAACACTAAGGAAGATGAGTTAACTGTCTCCAGTGCATTTGCTCTTCCAAACCTCCTAGAAAGCATCTTCCAAGAATCTTCAAAATGCTCAATAAGCATAGCTTACATGTACAAGATTTACTCCAGCTTTCCTATATTCTTCAGTGCATTTCTGCGGGCAATATACACCATGCAGAAATAAGTTTTTATTCACAAACCCAGCATAAAGCATAGGCAGAAATTAAAACTGAAATTTGTTACTGAAACAGTAACAAATGTCATGAAAGCATGGTTCTTGGGTGGAACTCAGTTAGGAGGGGGTCAGTAACCTACTTACAACACAAGGCTGTTCTAGGCAGCTTGCAAACATCCCCCACCACACATTTCACCATTTACCGGAACCTCCTTCCAAAGGGAACTCTAAATACAAGTCATCTCAAAGAAAAAAAAAAACAAACACAAAACTTATGAGACCCTACTTCTGGCAAGCACTAATGGCTTCATTGCAAGGGACTTCCAACTAAACAATACATAGCACAGCTTTTTAGAGACTCAACAAATAAGCAGCACACCACCCAAAACACAGGTGAGAAACAGCAACGCAGCAGAGGAACATTAGTTACTAAGGTGCATTTCTGCACTTCTAATTGAAATGCTGTGGCTTATCAGGTGCTGAAGCAGCACAGTCTGTCTAGACTCAGGCCCAACCACTCTGTTACAATAAAACTGAACAAAGAAATTATTTGTACCCTTCTTTCCAGCTTTAGTTTCATAGTGGTTTTACTTCTGGAATTTAAGCTTTGAAAGTTACTTAATTGAAATAACACATCAAAACAGGTAATAGTCCTTATGAAGGAGTTTTTCCCCCCACCCTTTTTTTCCACCCTACCTGTGTAACAAGAGGCTCAAGTAGTCTTTCAACTGCCAGCGTTCTTATCTCCAAGCTTTTGGGGTCCCATTTGAAGTTAACGTTGCCTGCAGTAACAGCAGTCATTTCTAGAAGAAGAAAAGAGCAACATGAATACCATTTTTTTTTTACTATGATTAACGCTGTTGGAATGTATTTTAAAAATAAATTAAAATGGAGGCTATTAAACACACAACACGTCCATTCAGTGTAAGTTAAGGTTATACTGTCTCTGGAAATAGCAGTTCTCCTTCAACTAGTGATAGTTTAAAAAATTGCTTGTTATGACAATACACAGACATTACTTGTATTTTTTCGTTAGAAAACAAAACCAAACAAACAAAACCGCACCAAAACCTCTTCAAAAGCCCCAATATTTTATCGGAGCAATGACAAGATTGGCAATGTTCGGTCTCCAAGCAATGAAAAAGGACCTCACGGGTAAGAGAGGCACTTCACCCACGAAGCTGGAGGCGGAACAAATAACCCCTTCCTGATTTCTGCGGCCTCCCTCCAGAGCTGGCCGTCCTGTGCTCCCAGCCCGGCTTTGGGACACAGCCTGAGGTCCTGGGAGAGCAGAAGGGAACACCAGTGCCAGAAAGCTGCCAGGTTTTTCCACTCCCCAGAAGTCACTACCCGAAATCGTCCGTCAAACCAGGAGCCAGGTTCTGACTCAACTCGTTCAACCCACCCGTTCATCCAACTCACCTTTTGGAATGACAGAGGTAAAACGATGACTGTAAGCCTTATAAAGCCAGAAAATCCAGTTTGTTCACATTTAACAGCTTATGTATCTACTACACTTCCTAACATTTACATAGGAGGAAAAAGCGGATTTGCATGAAGAGATCTGTTAAAAGCTGTCACTGAGCTGTTCTTTCCTGTTACAGTTTTATATCAACATCCCAATGAAACAGCAAATATAATTATGGGAAAAGTTTCGCAAAACTACTGAAATAGCTCTGCTTTTGAAACCAATATTTAGAAAAAAAAATAACGAACTACAACAGATCACTAGATTAACATTGTGATGTGGTACAGCATAACAAAAAAATAACCAGAACCATAATTTCAGTTAAAAAAATGGATCTAAAGTATTTACAGGTCCATAAACCCTGTTCATATCACTTCAGACTTAATAGATTCCAACTCTTCCTGCTTTGGGTTGCCCTGAAAATTCAAGACTACAAACGTGGGTTTAGTCTATTTATTTTTTTAAAAAGTCTGATGAATTAAGAGATAAATAAGTTTCCAAAGTCTCCATCCACCCCTTTTCCTACACACCTACCATTTCAGTTGTTCCAAAGCTCATCAGTCGGTATTTTTAAGTCCAACTCTGGACAGGGCACTGTCTGCACAGCATCTCAGCAGACAGATTGCTCTGACAGCACCAGATGTCCCCGCGCTGCCAGACGAGCACGACGGCCCGTTATTTTTACGAAACAGGAGGCAAGGCACTAATTTTGGTAACCGACCATGTTTATGACACATCCCAACAACCAAGCGTTTTACACCAGCACTGACAGTTAAACATGCCGAAACAGCACAGCCACGGCTGCTTGTTTCCCACCGCAGAACAAAACCTCTCGGGCACGCGAGCAGCTCAGCGTGAGAGGGCGTAAAGTCATCAGGGCTTGGCATCACCCGGCTCCGGCCAACAGCCCCTTCCCGGCAGGCAGATCCCGAGACATCACAAAGGCTTTCTCACATCACGGACACCATACAACAAATTTAAGTGTTCGCCACGCTACTGAAAACACATCTTTGCCCTGAAAAGCCTACACGCTGTCATAAACTGAAGTACAACTTTGCAAGGTGCAAAGCAGGAACGTTCACCTAACCTGCGTTCAGCTTTCCACTTACACCCACGCTCCAAGTGCCTACGCTGCTGGAGAGAAAGAAAACTTAAAAAGCTGAAAGCTTAAAGAAAAAAAGGTAATAGGAAGAGAGTGATCCATGCCAGCATACATAGAACATTTCTGACTGTTTTAAATCAAAAAGCTTGAAGGTGCAGATGAAGTGTCCTGCAGCAGGAAGGCATGCCAGGCTGCAGGTCCAGATGAAGTGTCCTGCAGCAGGAAGGCATGCCAGGCTGCAGGTCCAGAGACCCTCAGTGAGCTGGCTGCAGGAGGATGGAAGAGGGACACCTCCTCTTCCTCACCCTACCTCTGACACTTCTCACCAAGTCCTGTGAACTCACTAACTACCCTTCTCTCCCAATCACTCCCTTTTTCTTTTGCTGGTCCAGCTTTGCACTGGCCTGTGCCATGGCTCAGATGCTGGCACAAAGCAAGCTGTGAAATGTCCTTCACCCCTTGGTAACATCCTACCCTCAAGGAGGATTTTCACTGGTTTATTCCCTCCCCATCACCTCGGCATGAACACTTCCTACGTAAGAAGCCAAGAAAAATACACGGAAAGCCTTGATGGTTTCTGAGAAACAGCCAGGGCTCTGGAAAGCCTGTTAGGTTTCGAGGTGAGAGCTGTTTCTATGTATTTAATGCTGTTACAACTCTCGCAGAAACAAACGCAGGACGAGGTAACCACCAGAAGATACATTAATTGCACGAGTAGGATAATGAAGGCAATGCGTCTGAAAACACGCTAGTATGATAGCTCATGAATCGTCCGAAAGTAATGGTCTATAAAACCACTTAGTATGAACTTCATGGAAATTTATCTAAGCAGCGTAGGTTGGTAACCAACACACTGTCTGCTAGCAACAACTTGGATAGCATTTGTACATCGTAGCAAAGCTGCTTAATTAAATACTTGTGAAGAACACAGTAACAGGCTATGGCTTAGAAGTCCAGGTGTGAATGGGGGGGTCTAGGGGACAAAAGGACAAGGGCCAGGGCCACATTAAAGCAGGGCTGCACTCCTGCCAGGAGAACACTCAGATTCTCTGGAGCCTGCCTTGTCCCTGGGACTGCTCAAACTCTTGCCTCCCTGAATGCAAATACGGTAACAGGGAGTAAACCAAGACAGAGGGTATCATAGCAGAGCGCTTAATTGCTGGCTCTGGGAGAGCACACGGCGATTCCCACAATGCCTACAATAACTGCAACATCCCATAAAGAAAGAGGACATCCTATGGAAGACAGATCCAACTGCCGGCCAGCACAGCGCTGGTTTCGGACAGCTGGGACGAGCCAGCTGACATGGGAACAGGTTCTCCATGCCACAGACCTACCACGCACAGGACACGCAGCAGCACACGCTTTAAGGCAGGAATTTCAGGGACAAAGCAGCACAGACCACACAGCGGAAGAGAGCAAGCGACGCCAAATCTGAAGTGTTGGAATATATAGAAAGACACCACCGCACGAGGAGCCGCGATTGCCCAGCCTGTGGTTTCGTAAGCAGCAGGAAAGCTGCTTAAAAACCAACATTCATCCTCCCACACCCCTCTAGGAACTCATTCCCGCCTTCACATCACACCCCTCTGTACTGGCACAGCCTTCCCCACGGCTGAGCGATTAACCAGATGGGGAAGAACTGATTTGGCTGCAGGGACAGAAATCCATTTCTGCAGGGTGGGCCGAGATCCCCATCTGGTTCGCCGTGCCACCACAGATACCACTGCAAGCGGAACAAGCCATGGTGAGAGGAGATGGCTACCTTGGCTGGCACCTTTGGTAAAGCCCTTGAAGCAGAAACACGGGGCAAAGTTGGCCGTCACAGCCAAGTTGATGAAAACAGAGCATCGAGTAAAGCTGCTGTAGAGAGTGAGAACACCTTCCCGGCACATCTAGTGCTCAGCTACACAAAGCCCCAACCTTAAGCCATGCTCACAGCCCAGCACGTTAACTGTGGACCCCTCAGGTTATTACACTGGTCATGATGGTGCTCATTATTGTCGTAGATGGCTCAAGAGTAATTAAATTATATCTCACTGGCGCTTAGTGCGCTTGCAAAAGGACATGAGGGTGGGAAGGAATATTTTAAAGAAGTCACTTCCAGATTTCCCTAGTGCCTCTACAAACTCCACAATCTCCAGCAAGGAGCAGCTCTGCAAGCAGAGTTGTCCCAGGCACCACTTCAAGCTCACGCTGCCCCAGTCTTACCACTCCTTTCCCTGCCACAAACCTGCCTTGAACAGGCACCCACCTGATGCGGTGAGCCACTTCAGGGGGCTAAAATGGTCTCTGAGTAACCTAGTAGTGTAAGAATTACCTTGCTGGCTTACTGTCCTGAAGGAGGTGGGACCGCAGCAGCACTGAGATGGGCTCTGCCCCTGAACTGCACACAGGACAGGTCCCAGCCCTGCTTGGGAGAGGTGAGGGCACAGAGGGGAGCAGAAGGATGTAGTAAACTGCTAGGAGTGTATTTACACCCCATGTGTAAAGGCACTCTGAAGGCGCTATGCCTAGAGTGCTCTTTCCAAAAGCCTAAAAGTCACAGCATTTCCAAAAACTGGTAATTCGAGGTTTTAATAACAACTTCAGATGCCTACTTCCAGAATGCTGGCGAGCAAATAATTTCTGGACTTCAGCAAGTGTAGGAATGCAGCTCTGCGGCTTCTTCACAGAAGCGTCCTGAAGGCACCCAAGGCTTTCCAGAAAGCCCATGAAGGAGCACGATTTCGACAGCAAGCTCCGCACACCAACAAAATCATGGAAAAGTCTAGTGCTCATGGTCCTGTTTCTCCACGTTGCACTCCCACACACACCCGAAGGCAGTGCTGGCTGTATCTCAGGCGCTTACTGAGCTAGTAGGGCCAACCTGCTCCACACCAGGAGACCCTGTAGCCTCCTGTCCTCTGGACCAGAGCAAATCTCTTTCAGTTACACAGCTGAAGATCTAACTGCCCATCTCCTGTGCTGCAGTTTCAGTCCCACCACCTTGTGCTACCTGAAGAGTCCTTCACATGCCATCTTCTACCAGTCTTTAAATTTTAACTACCCTGACAGGCTGCTTTCTGAAAGCTTTTAACTACATTCACCATTCTCTTTAAGACTGTATTCAAACGGCAGTACAGCAGGGGGCTAACCTGGGCCAAGCACAATAGACCACATGCTGAATTCAAGCATTATGCTACCCAAAAAACCTAACAAAAGAGTATGGTACAAGAACATTTTATACCTGGGAGG